AGTTTTGTTTTAATTGACCTTTTTAAAAATATGACTCGTGATCGACGTAAAAAATTCAGTTCGGTTTTTTGGTTGAGTTATCTCCGTTCACAGCTTATATCTAAATCATAACGGTAAATACCTGGCATCTATTTTTATTATTATTCAAATTAATTTCGTTTTCATTTCACCAAAAGGGCCGAATCGACTTCCTCTGTAGAAGAGGAAAATAGTCTGGAAAAGACTAAAGCAAGACTGAGAGAGGCCCAAGAAAGATATGAGACAAAGCAGGATGAAGAAAGGGTGGAAGAGATACCCAAGGAGGTCTCAAGATGGCAGGCATTCCTCGCCGTTTTCTGTTGCTGCTTTCTGCAGGTTAGTTTTTTGGATTTTTATTAGAATTTGATCATTAATTCACAATTAAAATTTAGTTATTTCTTCGAAGTAAACTAATATGAAAATCATCTATTTCAGCCAGACCCTGGGGTCTATCCCACCCCAGCCAATCCTGGGCCGGAACCAAGACCTGTAAACCTGTTCGACAAATGTTGTCCTCCGGATGACTGCCCAATGGATGGGAAAGTTAGAGGCGAGTTAGTGGACAGAGTTCTCGTCCAAAGGAAGGTAGAGAAACAGAAGGAGAAACAGCGAAAGAAAGAAGAAAAGGAAATGGAGAAAGAAAGGAAGAAAGAGGAGAAAGAGAGAAAGAAAGAGGAGAAGAAAAAGGCCAAGATGGAGAAAAAGGGGAAGACCTATGTCCCCAAGCCAAAGAAGGAGAAGAAGGAGAAGAAGAAGAAGCCGGTTAAGATCTTGGACATCAACACCAAGTTCCCCGAGCCAGACGGAGAGACCGCCGAACCCTCAGATCTGCTGCCAGTCGCTGAGATCAACCCTTCTTTAAGTTCGGAGTCCGTGCTCTCCAAAGGTGCCATCGCCGCTGCTCTGTCAGGAAGTGAACTGGGGGCTACAGCCAGCACCGAGGTTAACTACGGGAACGTTGAAGTCTGGGACGACTGGAGCGAGCAGAAACTGCAAGAGTTAATTATGGAAGATCTGGTCCTACAACAGGTATTGGCCAGCGGCGGGAAAGGCAAAGGGAAGGGCAAGAGCAGCAAGAGAAAGGCCGAGGAGGAGTAAAATGCCATCATTTACACAGTCAACAACAGCATGCTAAATTATTGTATTTAATTTAATTTTTCATGGGCTCTATAAATAGTTCTCTCTAACAAAATCGTTTTGTAAGTATTTTATTCAACATAATGTTAATCCGTTGACGCATAGTGTCACAATTTATTTGGACATTCAAAGTCTTTCTAAAAAATTTCAGAAAATATGTTGTTGATTGTACCAGTTAAAATACACACACTTAACCATTTTTGGATTTATCGTAGGGCACATAAATTTAAACTGATGTGTTTTAATATTAAGATATTTAATGTAGGTATTTAATCCAATGTATTTATTACAAACGCCAGTATTGCCTATTGCTGGCAAAAGGCAAGAAGTAGATGCTTTAGGCATCGATGAAACAGTATGTGAGGATGGAGGTATGGACGGCAGTTGTTATCGGGCCGTCGACCCCTTGACGTACGGTGTTAGTAACTATATCAGCGAGCTGCTCACTGTCTTTGCACGGAAGATGACCGATGGACGTGTGAGTTCAAGTTGACTAGGTGTAAGAAAAAAAACTTGAGGGCGGAGGTGTTTTTTAACTGTGAAAGCGAGTTACTATATTTACACAGCAGACGACCGATAGACAAATGAAAGAAACGACGGAGGCGTGACTTAAAGAGGCTAGATGAAATAAAAGATGAATAAGTGAAGATGGAGGCATGGACGGCAGTTGTTGTCCGGCCGGGGACCTCAGGGGGTGAGGTCTTGAGATGTTACATTTAGTAATTACAAAAGCAAGTTACCATCATTATAAGGAGGGCGATATTAAGATGAACAGTTCAAATGAATCAAGGAAGATCATAGAAACGACGGAATTGTGAGGAGTCAAGCGGCGGCTGGACATGGGTTAGGGCTGTCGACTCATAGAAGTGGCAAATTATCTATAACAACGAGTTAATTTTTTATTGCACGGAAGAAGAACAATGGAGATCTGGATTATAGTCCGTATATAGTGTATAACAGAGAAAAAAGGGAGAGGAGTAAAGATTGTGCTTTGAATGACTTTTTGTCAACAAAGCTATAAACAAAGAAAACCCTGCAGTCAACACCAACAAGGGCAAATTTATTAATCGAATTTTCCACTTTGTTTTGCATATTTTTTTCAATCTGTTCACCACCTCAAGTTTTAATATTTTTAGTCAAATAATTGGTGTTTTAGTGGCGGAAAAGTGTGAGGCAAAACAATTGTTACAGCAGTTATTAAAGTGGTCATATATTTTAATTAAGCCAAAAAAAAAAAATGGTTGCCTTGAACACTTGTGATTCGCAATGTGCGTGTGCTCGCTGAGGCGTGCGCTTGCAGATAGAGACGGTAGATATTTTTAAAACAAACTTATTAGCTATTTAGGTACAACTACATTTCTGCCTAAACATTGAGGATTCTCTGAGAAGAATCCCTAGTATTGATTTCAAGTTTAAGTATGATTTGTGAAAGAGGGTAGGCCCCTTTTTGTAAAATGAGTATATTCACTTATTAGGGAGAAGGATATATAATGCAAGTAGTAAAATATAATGGAATACCGCAAGGTAATTAACATCGAGTTATTGAGAAACAGAGATAAAAATCGAGGAATTATTCAAGTGTGGGTGATATTGTCATCACGTAGAATTCAATGCAGACCAGAGCTTCAACATACCAGACAGGGCTGCTTGTTAACAAAATATCTATCTAAACCTTGGATATTCGTTATTATGTCCAAATCTAAACAGGGAACTAAGTACAACATGAGAAATGGAGCGATGCGTGGAGTAGAGACCCCCAATTTCTTTTCCTCGGGATTTTTTTATATCTTTATTACTATCGATTGATTTCTTCGTGTCGAAAGTTAAGAAATTTTATACCAAGCAGTATCATATACGTTAACATTTTCAAATTGTTCAGTTATTTAAAACCAAGTGTTTTCATGCTGTGTCAACCGTTTTATCTGCATATTTTTCTGGGGAAACCACCTGTATTGTATTTTATGATAACATTTATTCTTTTTCATTATATGAAAGAACATATTCCATTTTTTTTTCAATTTGTTGCAGGTACATGTAGGCCTACAATATTTTCCACGACTAAGCCTACATGTACCTATTTTTAACAAAGTTTTTAATGTTTTTTCGAAAAGTGGATCGTTGATGCTAATTATTTAGCGATACCATATGCATTGTGTCTTGCTTTGCATAAATAACGAAACACAGTGAAGGAATCCAACTGTTTAAGGTTTGCAGCACATATATAGATTATTTATCAATGATGTTCTGCTGAATTATCATAGCAATTATATATATATATATATATATATATATATATATATATATATATATATATATATATATATATATATATATATTTTTTTTTTTTTTTTTTAAAAAAAAAAAAAAAAAAAGAGGAAAAAAAAAAAAATAAAGTTTATAAAAAGCAAAAAAAAAAAAAAGAAAGAAAGAAAAAAAAAAAGAAAAATCACTGACAAGCTTTACCCTGATATTGATTTGTTTTATTATTTTTATTATTATTATTATTATTATTATTTATGGAAAAATAAAGAATTTTGAAAGTTACAATGTTTAGTCCACATTTCTTCTTCCTCGTTTTAATAGATGTAAATAAAGCTTTAGAGGTATTTTTATTTTGACTACTGTAGTATCAGTTAATCATTTCTACGGAAAAAACGGCGAATACCTGAACACTAACTTTTGGCCCCAATATACGTGTGCAAATCCCTTTTCTCTGTCGGGGGGACTGCAGCGTCATGATCTTGAGGCTGATAAATATAGTAGTGTTTTGACTAGTTCCAGACAATAAGAGCTCGCTATATGATAAACTTATTACATTATTAACAATTGAAATCTTTCAAATTGAAATAATTTGGCGAAAGATATCTTTATATTACTATTAATCTTTTCATCTAGGATTGAAATGTTTAATTATGAAGTCGATAAAAATAAAAGTGTCTCACGCTGATATGAGGAACAAAGCGCAAACAATATGGAAGGACGGGAACACGTGCTGTCGGTGTTGACAAAAAATTTTGAAGGAAATTTGCGGTCTCTGGTAGATTTCAGACAAATTGTAGACGAACACAAACTCTACAACACACAGGTAATGATTGTAGGTTATAATGCAGAGTCAAAGTAGTTCTTATGTTATAGATTCTTCCGTTTCACATCAGCTGTTTGTCGTCGCGTGTCAAGTGCATGGTTCAATTAAGTAGCTACGTACGACACAGATGCTTTATCTATCTAGTGTACACTAACATAACAGTGAACAGTAGTGCTAGGAAGCTTATTGTTCTGAATACATGCACCACAGGTTTTGGGATTTTCCTGAACTCCAGGTGAGTGGATACGGAAGCTGTTAATAGGGTGGCATTCAGACAGAAACTCGTTACTGTTATGGAGTGCTTCAGCATACAAACGGATAAATGAAGTTAAAATATGATTGCTGCAGACGCAAAATTTAACTAACTTTATTGCCTTAGTTAAATATAGTAAGCAGTTAATTGTTCTTCAATTGTTTTTGAGGATTGGAAATTCTTATATTGCGTTATTGCTTGGCATTTGTGCCCTACTTGGCCTTGGGTCTATTTTAATCTTTTTGCTTATTCTCAGAAAGCAAGTCAAATTCAAGATGAGATCAGTAAAATCAACTCTGGTCTAAATGCAGCTAAATCCAGGTAAGCATAAACTTATTGTTTCTGTTTAAAACTTTCCCATGTTATCATATATGTACAGTGTATATATATATATATATATGTTCCAACTACCAAGTTAATGAACATTTTCCCATGTTACTTTACCTTATCTGTTATGTACAGAGAAAACAGGGGTCTTCTATGTAATTTAGACTTGTGTTTATAGCTCTCATTCTCTTTTATTTACTTATTTCTGAAGTAATTTTTATGTATGAGATATCTTGTTAGTTATTATTTTACTGTTTTTTTTTCATTTTTGTACATTTTTGTAGAGTTGAGAGTCTAGTACTACTGAATGATCTTCTCAGCCAGTGTAGCACAGAAACTCTGTCACAGTATGCCATCACTTGGACACGCCTTCTCATACAGATTATCAAGGTAAGAATAACCAACACATTAAAGCAGATCAATGTCTTACCAGTTAACTTTTTTTTTTTTTTTTTTTTTTTTTTTTATTTTTTTTTCAGGACCAAGTATAATTGTAACCAGTCAGAAAATTCAGGGATCTTCAACAAGAAGAGAAATTTATTTTAAATTGAATTGTAAAGATAAATGACCTTTTTTTCAAATTACATTTTTTTTTCTGTTTTTTTTTTTTTTTTTTTCTAATCTGTTCCATTTTCCATGTATTCCCTTTCAGGGCTATGCTCCAGCCAGTATTCACAGACTGGCTTGTTGTGTACTAGGAAGTCTTGCAGAGAAGTCCTCCACTTGCCCCGAGTTGGCTCGACAGGTTGCCCTTGACTCGTTGCCCCATCTCATTCCTGCCCTGCTTGCTATGAAGGAAGAGGTAAAGTCTCTCTCTCTCTCTCTCTCTCTCTCTCTCTCTCTCTCTCTCTCTCTCTCTCTCATTAACACATATACATAAATCTTTATTGGAATAACTGATACTTAAGATGCGATAAGGTGTTATCTGGATGTTATGATATCAGTTATTCACAATGTCCTGGCTTATTCAATAATCATTTGCCTTAGTACATTAGTTATATGTTCACTTTAATGGCACCTAATTGAAAATTCAGCTCAGATGCACATACTGACAACTCTGTCTCTGTTTTATGACTGTAACTACTTGCTTGGGAAACAAGTATTTGAAATTTATAGAACTTTCATTCTCTCTGTATGCAGTCATCTCTCTTTAAATTATGAATGTGCATTTTTTCTATCTAACAGAGTTTAGAAGCAGCCTTGTACTGTATTGGGAAGTGTATGCAGTTCTATCCAGGACCTTGTGGCACTTTTAAGGTTATAACATTTTATATTATATATTTTAAACATGAATCGGAATATATTTGAATTCTCATCATTATAAATACTATTGGCTAAACTATCATTGAGGTTTATTGATTTATTTATGTTTTGTTAATTTATTAAAATCTATTTATTCTTAAATCCTATTTATTAATAATTCCATATAATTTTGTTTGACACTAAGCAAGCGTAAAATATTCATCACATTAACATTTTATGTCTTCTATTCAGGGTAAAATAGAGAACTTGGTTATAGATCAATTAACAAAGGAGAACCCCAGAGTTGTGGAGGTAAGATAGCCAAGTATATCATTTCATTGTGTAGAAAATATTTATTTAAAAACTTCTGGCACACATTTCAAACTCCTACAACAAAATTGATCTCTGTCTGTTACAGATAATAAAATCACTGTGCATTGTTACATACTATTATCATAATAATAATTATTATTATTATTAATTTTTTATTTTATTTATTTATATTTTGTGACTGTTTTCACTGTGAAGCTTACTTTTCAGTGTAAAAGATGAATCTCAGTTCATCACATCACATACCAGTTGTGATGACCAAACTTGGCACTGATTCTTAAAGTAGACTCTGCAATTTCCATAAATTTATTTTGCCCATACCCACTTCTTGTCAGTCCTGATAAACAAACATGTTCCTCTTCCAGGCTTCTGTTTCTGTCTTCCCCTGGCTGTCTCAGTGTGGAGGGGGAGGAAACCAGGGAATAAAACACGCAGAATCATGGAGCAGTAACTGTCACAAGCTGCTGGGCTCTCTTCATGATACTCTTGATCAGCTTTATGAAGGGGTGGAGTCAGGTATGGATTTAATTACATTTAATTTATTTATCTATTTGTTATACTAACTTGTCTGTTTATTTGTTTTTGTTATATAAAAAAAATAGTTTATGAAAAATTGAAATGGTTCACTCTTTTTTAAAGCTGAAAAGCCCTCATGATGTGACCACAGCATTTTGATTTTCTTTAAACTTTTAATTTGCATTGGACATATTTTGTAAAGGAAGCTGAAGCAACATTTTCACGTTGTGAAATTTTTATGGTGAAATCCACAATTCACCACTATGGCAGCGTCAAAACCATTTTTAAATTCCAAATAAAATTGGAAGGTAGGTATAGATGGCATTGAATACTATACACTGAGGCATGGAATTAAATATGAAAATGAAACAATTTCAAAAGGGCAACCTAAATAAAACCTATTGGATGAATTGTTTATTTTGTAGAAGTGGAAGAGAACAAGAGGAAGTCTGAAAAGCTTTCTTTGAGTCCAGTACAAGGCACAGGCATGGAGAGAATTGTGGGTTTACACCATAGGCTGGACATGTTGTGTGGTTGTCTAGGGGGAATGCTGAGGTAGGATCTTGTTATTCTCAGTACTTTTTGCTCATCAACGTCAGTGTACCTATTTTGCATCTGATTTTTTTCCTCAAGTAAATATCAAAATGTTATTGATAATAATTTTTCGAAAAAAAAGTGTTATGATTCTACACTTAAAATCTCCAGATGTAACTTGGTTTCATTTATGTGACATAAGTGTAGTCGTTATGATTATCAGCAACTAATTTGTTATTAATATTTACCTGTGATTTGATACTGTTCATAGTACCACGTTCCCAGCTGTTGTGAGGATTCCTGTACCAGAAGTGATCGGGTTCATACAGAGGACGCTGGCAGTCACTGGGAGAGCCTTGGTAAGATGATCCCCTCAATCTGTTTACAGATAACTTGTGTAGATTGCCAAATGTTGAGAAAAAATATTGTGATTTTATACATGTTCAGTGTCATACATATTACACACAAAAACAAGAGATGGATGGGATGAAGAGGATGAGAAACATTGTGAATTTTATTGACTTTAAATTTTTTTTCGTGATAAAAATGTCAACTTTGATTTGACTATATTTGTAGATATCAAGTTTATTAAATTCATTTTTATTGTTATTATTATTTTAGCTACTCCGTCCATCTACCGACCATCTGCAGTTGCTGTCAGTGTTACCATTCCTGCACACCTCTGTCCTCAGGGTGCTGTCCTGTCTCATCTCAAGGTATGTGTTACCATTCCTGCACACCTCTGTCCTCAGGGTGCTGTCCTGTCTCATCTCAAGGTATGTGTTACCATTCCTGCACACCTCTGTCCTCAGGGTGCTGTCCTGTCTCATCTTATGGTGTGTATGTGGTAGAATTAAAACTTTTTGTTCTAGGGATCTTTAATTTCTCTCTTTTTACTTCTTAATTGATGCCATTTTCTAAAAAATTCAATTAAGAATTGTAAAAAATTCACTTCCCTTGCTGAAGTTTTTTATGTGAAAATAATTTAGTCAAAAAATTTTCAGGTTTTATGTAATTTTATTTTTGCTTCATGATTCTGATTATGATGAGAATTTAAGCTTAGTGAAGTAGTTGTCTTCATAAACTTAGTTCTTTCTTCAGCTTTTTTTCTTATGTACCTACTAGTAACTATTTGTATTTGTAATTTTTTGTTCATCTTTATTTGATAGGTTTTTTATTTTTATATTTCTTTTTCTTTTATAGTTGCCAAAAGAACCTAATCTCCTATACCAGCACAGTAAATCAACTTCTCATCCAAACTCTGTCCTGGACTATAACTGAAGACAAAGCAGATGGTAGGAAAAGACCTTATGGGTAAGTCACATGACTTCTCACAGAATTTCCAGAGTTCAGTGCTTTATGCAAAAAGAAAGCAAATCTGTTTCTTTAAAGTAAAAATGAATACAAAGAGGGTCATTAAGTAGATAAGTTTGAACAGAATGGCTTTTGTATAGCAATTTCCATTGTTAAAATAATAATTACTATTATAATTATACTTGCAAACTTTTCTTAAAAAATAATGTTAAAATGAGCAAAGGACACAGAATTTTCACAACTAATAAACTTGCAATTAAATTTGTATAGAAAGAATGAATTTGTATGTATATCTACTTCTCCATTTATTTACTTTTAGTAATTTACGAAAAGAAGTATATTCCACACTCGTCGTCTGGGTCCAAACACTTGGTGCATCCTCTAATGTTCATAATATTATAGACCATTTGTTGACTCAGCTGAAAAGAGATATCACTCCAGATGTTGACGTTATAAAGGTATTAATGAGATTTCATGATTACATATAAGAGAATTAAACAAACTGACATTAAGTGTGTGATCATTCAAGTATATGTCCTACTGAAGGTATTTACTTTGGTATGGTAACTTTCCATATGCAGACACTGTTATTAATAATAGTGGTTAATTAAATGAATGTCTGAATAATGCTATCCTGTTAAGTTTGGTGAGAGTGAGGAAGAGTACTAAAGTTTATGTACACGGTACCATTGTTTGCAGCTCACCGTCTTCCCGATCAGAAGCTGTGTGTGCATCTCTTGTTACCATATTATTGTACTAGTAAAGCAATGCTTCCATCTTACTTTAAACTCTCTGGCAGAGGTAAACTTTAAAATAGTTATTTAATAAATCGTATTTTCTTAAAAACATTTTCGTACTGACTTTATTTCAGCTGGAGACTAGTAATAAGAAGCCAGATCAGTACACAGAGCCTCCTAATAAAAGGAAGAAGGGTAATAAAGCTGGATTAGAAGGTGTGTCCACTCATAAAGCTCTTGACCACTTGGCTAATTCTGATGTCTGTCTCTCTGCACTGGCTGCTTTTAGACACCTTCTGGTGGTTGCTGGAAGTTTGTTGAAAGTTCAGAGGATTAGGGTAGGTGAATTGCTATACAGTAATCACTCATAAAATTCAAATACCCTATTTTCTTCCAGTATTTTATTCCCAAAAGATTTTTCTTTTAAATTGTGCTCAGTAAAAAATTCCTTTTTGATGTAAACCTGACTTATTTTTGGAATTTTTTTTTTCATTTATTATTTGCAAAAAAAATTGTACAGGATTTTTTATTTTGGATACAATTAAAAGCAAATATTGACATTTGGGTTATTTTATTATTTATAGCTGCACTTAATTATTAGATATGATATTTTTGTGTTTAGGAGAGCTTGAAAGTATTCTTAAGCAGCTAACATATATGAGTAGACATTAGTAGAAAAGTGAGGACTTAGATTCATGTACTTCAACATGGTGTTTTACATTTATATTCTATCATTAATACAGGATATCCAGGAAATCACCCTTCCCCTGGCACTGCGTGTCCAGGCCTTCACTGACCAGGGGCCACCTGGGCCGTACTCAGACCCAGAGTGCAGGAGAGAGCTGTACCATGTGATCCAGTGTCTGTTTCTGATCCCGGCGTCCAAGTGTCCGCCCCCTTCCCACTGTGTGATAAGGCTGTTTACTGGTGGACAGAATGACCCAGACAGAAAGGTGACATGAGAGAAATGTTTATTGTAAAATATGAACAGTTTTATGTGATGCGTAAATTTTACTTCTGTGATACTGTTCATGGGAACTTGACTATTGTGGTGACGACCTTTTTCAAAGTATTTAAACTGAAGGCTGTGGGAAATGGAAAAAACTCTCAAGAAAAATTTATCAGTCATTAGTCATGAGCATCAGTTTCAATATTTAAAAATGGTAACTGTCTTAAGAAAAATGAATTTTGCTGATTAAGATACATATTTTAAAAGATTCAACTCTAAGACTTACATGAATAATTATGTGTGGTTTAAAGATATTTGCACAACATATCAATACTGATGAGTGGGTAAGAAAATAAGGATAATACTTTAAATTAAAATATTCTTTTCAGTTGTTGAAAATAGAAAAGCAATGGCTAACTTATTGAATTGACCTTTTCATTCAGGTATCTTCATTCTGTCAAGAGGCACTCACAATTTGCGAAGCAGTCATTCATCCCAGAGTCCCATCACTCCAACAAACTATTCTCTGGACTGTAGATGGCACCAAAATCCAAGATGTTAACAAGACAAGCCAGGTTTCAAAATCAACTGTTGACAATTCTTTATTTATAAGTGGGAAAAATAGGCAATGTGGGGAATCTATTTTCACAACGAGTTTCCAAGATTCACAGTCAGTTGTAAAACAAACAAATTCCCTAATAAAAGATGACTCGATAGGTAAATCTGGTGCACCAAGTGACTTGCCTGCTGCCATGGACAAGCCTACTGCTGAGGAGAACTCTTCAGAAAGTGAGGAAAAATGTTCTGATGTTGCTATGGAAACTGAAGAGAAGGAGGTTAAAAAGAGCAAAACAGTTTCCACAACTGAAAGGTTGACCACCAAATCAGACGATATTTTCACTGAAGCATCAACAAGTAAAGATGACACTCTCTTAGGTAATGGGAATGAATTTTTTTCTGTAATGTCTACACAGCCAACTGGGACTAAAGGAGCTACTGTGGCACCACCTGTAGGGGGTAATAGAAATGAAAGGACGGCTACAGCAGTGACACCTGCAGGAGAATTCCTCAGTGAAGATGAAGAGACAAAAACCCACAAGCGAAAATTGTCAGAAATGGAGGAAAGCAGTGATCAGGTTAGTGAAGGATGATAAAACATGGTCACAGCTATATGTGGGTGGCAGAAGACGCATTGGGCTCTGTCTTCTTTTTTATAGCACCCAAAGGAATTGATGTGTAGCCCCACCTAGCACGAGGGAATTATTTTCTTCCTTCTGAGCTCCTAACTGGGCCATCTTTATCAACTAGTAGTTCAATATTATCAACCTTATTTTGGAAAGAAAACAACCATATCATTGAGTATAATTATGAAACTAATCTTTATTCATTAATTTTTTTCTGTTTTCTTTACAGGTGGAGAGCATGTTGGCTAGTTTTGTAGATGCCCAGCCAGACTCAGACTGATAGCGACATTAATTTGTGGTTTAAAACACATCACTTGAAGATAAATTTGGGACAGCGTCTTTGATTTTGAAGGATCACTCGGTGTGAATTATGAAGTGTTGACAACATGTGCAACAAAACTGAGAAAAAGTTGAGAAATGGTCCACCATTTGGACAAGAAAAAACTGGAGACATGACCACTGATTTTTCGGAATATTTCATGCTAGTCATGGCATCTGTTATTGCTCCATTGGAATTCGGGATGGGGAGGAAGGTCTTGCCCGACATTTTAGAAAAAAAATGACCCACATTTAGTAACAACCTGAGTAAGATTCTCAATTATAGTGGATCAAAAATCAATTAAACAAAGAAATAAAGTAATGAAAAAGGTAAATTAATATAATAATAAATTCTTGAGTCTTATTATTTTATTTTATTTTATTTATTTTTTTTTACAATGTCGGTTTCAGAAAGCGCGTTATGGTTCTCTAACTACACAAAATCTTGAAAGCTTTATTGTGTTATATCCTGAAGAAAAAACTTCAAGAGGCTGGACTTGATGGTTTTTAAAGGCATGAACTTGGCAGACGTGCAAAGACGGCATGTCGGGTCCGACATAAAGATCATACGAAGTCGTATGACGTAATGTCGGACGCAGTTGTCCCGGACTATAACGAGTCGTGGATTGCGTGGAGGCAAATATGGCGGACCTGAGAAATAGATTAAATAGACTAATAAATGCAGAAAGGCAGAAAAGACACTACCACATCCGATCTTTACGAAGAAAAATTTGACCCGAGCACTTTGTAAAATAAAGCATTTCAATATGCCCTTGGAGGTCATTTTGTGCTGTCTCTTGTCTGTCTCTAATTCTTATCATTAAGTTTAACATACGTCCCAAAGTTGGTGAATTTTTACTTACGTTAACACATGGCGGGGCACCGAGGGCAAAGATCACGGCGGCAGCGACATCGTCTGGTTGAAGACTCTAGCGTGAAATGATATTACATGAAAAAATAGGGTGCATTTAGATTCACACATCGTACAAGCTCAGTCGACCCAACTCAGTGGGGTATACTCGCTTAAGTGCAATCAGTGTAACCAGCTTTATAAGTACACAATAAGTAAGATTTGCCCAACTGTTTGAAGAGGCGTGTCAGACAATTAAGCTAGCTCCGTGATTCCACCGTCAGGGTGTTATGTACCTTTACATATACATATGAGAGGAATGTCCTAAACTTATATAATTTAGAACGCTTAATCCAAGCGTGGGCTCGAAATAGGACATTACGTTTTAGACTTACTCAGTGGATAACGCAATTCAAAATTCCACGGTTCGTGTCAGATTTACGTAATGTCGCGCAAAGAAAACCCAAGTCCACATAATGACCAGTTTAATGGTTTTTTCGTTGACGATCTCTAACTACATGTTCTATACCTGAAGCCTCCAACTTCTAAGCCGTCTCCCATAGCTCCGTCGAGCGGTCACCTTCGAGTCTTCTTCAGTCTGTCCTCCAATATTATTTCTAGACGTCTTTTATACGTATTTCTTATCTATAGGTGGATTCTGTGCTGCAGTATTTGGCGGTGCATACTAATTTTAATTATTCAAATTGAACACGTCCACTGAAGTTACATAACTACAGGTAAGGCCAGAAAACGAGTCGAGTGCACAAGCAATCGACTTTAATCAAATTAATTTACATGTCTGGGAATTATATGTGTGAACACTACAAGGGGGGGATTGAGGCCGTCTTCTGGGTCTTCTGGAAGACGGTCAGATTTTCAAGTTTGTATTGACAGGTATATAATTTTTTGTCGGAAGACGATCCAAATTGAAGATGGATCGGCAAAGATAATTTGGTAGACTGTCAGAAAATAATTCTGGGTCCGCCTCCGTGGCACGGATTGCACTTAATGAAAATCCCCCGCAGACTTGGGCCGTCCCAGCTACTTCTGTGTGTGAATCTGACTGTGGTCATATATCAATAATAGATTAATAATCCATCGTGTCAATTGGTATGGAAATACGTATTCGTTTGTTAGACCCATGTAAGCAAGTTAATGAAACAATTTCTTTAGAAATATTATTTCCCTTTATACAAAAAAAGTTAATATTTAGTAAAATTGCCTTCTTAATAACAATGTGCACTTTAATTTGGTTTAAAAAACATCCCCCATACCTGAAAATAATCTCAAAAGACTTATTGTAAACCTTATAGGCTGGGTGAATAAAATCAAGCTTTAGGTTAATTTCAGAGGAAAACGTGGCGTGTCACAGACCTATCATAAGCCGGACACAGTGTACAACAGGTCCAAAATGGTAAAAGATTAAGGAACCGTTCCCATAACCCTACCTTACTAGCTCGATCGATCTAACTCCTCGTGGTTTTCGCTTCTTGCATTCATTCAAAGCGGCTTAAATGCCTGGCACGCCCCCTCGTAACTTAAAGTGCTTGGATAAATTTGGGAAATCTTTCGGGCCCATGATATTTGTATTGCTTTGCAAGGGAGAATCCCCGCTGAGATGGATCATTCCTCTAGTACGATAAGGTTAGGGGAACGTAGTCTTAGATCCCATTCCCATACCTAGATCGATTTAACAGAATCGATACTTCTCCGAGGGGGTTCTCAATCAATTGCTTTCAGCTTAAGCGGCTCTGTTGCCTGGCACGTCTCCTGAAGCTGTTTTCCCTAGAATTAGGTGGTAACTAACTATCGTTTAGCAGCTTTAGTAGGCTTGTCACACATCTAAGCCGTTCAATCTGAAAGCAATTTAGCGAGAAACCATTCGGAGATGGATCGATCTTCTTAGATCTATATAAGTATACGAATGAGGTCTTAGCCCGCAAGAATTTATTGTAGCTTACATATTCCGGGCAGAAGACGCTGGCATCAAATAACCCTCTCACGAGCGGTGTGTCGACCACTGCAGGGCTCAGGACCTACGTAGTGATAGAGCACGGTATTTTAATAACACGATGAGAATATTGCTCTGCGTTAAGAAGATCTTAAATCTAATAAATAAAATCATATTATCTAATCGCCCATCTGTGGACACTCGTGCGCTGCGAGGGACAGTTAATTAATAATTACACAAATACGACCCTTGTTATTCCAAGACTGTATATGTACATTTACTGGCTTGTGCTTGTCTAAATACTCTTTGCTTAATTACATGTATCTACTACAAAATTAATTATCGTCTGAACTGTTATTGTAGCTAAATATCTTAGTCCAAATTTACCGTCGTGCGTATTTTCGTGTTCTGTTTTCTCAGCTCGTGTCGTAGGCCCTCTGTGAAAGCGTTCAGGGCTTGCTTTGTTGGGGTATACATGTGACATGGGATGTCTGCATGGACCGTGCTTCCACATACACTATAAACAGAGAAAAGTGTGGAATTCAGCACAGATAACAGGTTCATCATATTTGGGATGTGATTTTAAAAGTTTTCACATAGGGGCCATTCAGAATAGATGATCCGAGTACTAACTGATCCTCCGACTAAATATGGCCGACCCAACTTCAAGAGCGACGCCACAAATTCCGTGATGGTCTCCTGGCAGGGGTCAAGCAATTAAACCTCGGAGCTGAGATTTAATCCGTTTAAATGGCGCGTGTAATTGTTAACCTGATCATTTATCTATTAGTAAGTCATGATAATAAAGATTTATACCACGGCTGGCGCTTCAAAAAATGTGTCGCATACAGTGGACGACGAGCAGTTGAAACTAGTATGTATTCTGTTTAAAGCTGGTGTATGTATTACCTGCCGATGTTGATAATGTGCCCGTCATCCATGTTCCTTTCTTGTATGGACTGAATGGTCAGCTGGGAAACGGTGATGACAGCGAATACATTCAACTGAAAAAAAAGGCTTTAGCTGCTTACGAAGAAAGTAAATTTTTTAACAAGGCAGCAAAGCTGTTAAATGTACAGACAAAAACCAGAAAAAAAACGCAGGAAATAGGATACTGTCAATTTTGATGCATTAATGTATTATGCTTACTGTAACTGCATAGCCAACATCAAATTCTAATTCTGCATAACATTGGTTTAGGATGAAAGTAAAATGTGTAACAAGCATTAGACTGAGTTCCCATACCTAGATCAATCTAACAGGATCAATCCAACTCCAAGGGGTTTCTATCAATAGAACAGTGTTAAATGTCCAATTTCCTCCATTCTGAGATTCTGAACATAGTGGATGATTGAATCTAACAAACTGCAATGATATGAGTTTTTTTCCAATTTTGACACTTTATAACACAATACACGATAACAAGTTTACCATCATTTTTACGTAATCAACTAACAATGTTATAAAGATGCAGGAAATGTCAAACAAGCACATTTACGTATCTTATGAGTTCAATAATGAGACTGTTAACATGCCTAAGAATTGAATCTGAGGAAATGTGAAAAAACAGCATAAATTCTAAAACAATGGCCCGATTATGCTGATTTTCAAACTCAACCTGGGTTTTAGTAAGATTGACCAGTCCTGTGAGTATAATGACAATTGGCCCATCTGTTTTTCTTATATTGTGTTATCAGGGTTGCATATATGCTGAAAAAAGTGAAAAAACAGCATAACTTCCCTAAAAATGGCCCGATCATGCTGATTTTCAAACTCGACCCGCGTATTATAAATATTCATCAGTTCTGTAAGTTTCAAGCCAAAAGGTGAAACGGTTTTTCACTTATTGTGTTTACAGTGTTGCATAAATGCTGAAAAAAGTGAAAAAACATCATAACTTCCCTAAAAATGGCCCGATCATGCTGATTTTCGAACTCGACCCGCATATTATAAATAATCATCGGTTCTGTAAGTTTCAAGCCAAAAGGTGAAACGGTTTTTCACTTATCGTGTTTACGGTGTTGCATAAATGCTGAAAAAAGTGAAAAAAACATCATAACTTCCCTAAAAATGGCCTGATCACGCTGATTTTCGAACTTGACCAGCGGATTATGACTGTTCATCAGTTCTGTAAGTTTCAAGACAAAAGAAATAACGGTTTTCCACTTATCGTGTTTACGGTGTTGCATAAATGCTGAAAAAAGTGAAAAAACATCATAATTTCCCTAAAAATGGCCCGATCACGCTGATTTTCGAACTTGACCTTCGGATTATGACTGTTCATCAGTTCTGTAAGTTTCAAGACAAAAGAAATAACGGTTTTTCACTTATCGTGTTATCGGTAAAAGTGCACGGCGACGACGGCGACGACGACAGACGCAGATGATGGCTATACAGTGGTCGGAATAATTTTGTTTCCGTTGTACACCGGTGTAACCACGTTCGAAATGTTTTAATCCCTATCTTGTGAATAGAAGGGGGCGGACAAACAATGGAGGGCCGTATAAATCCCTTCAAAATTCGAACGCACAAACACAATAGCTTAGGTGGAATAACACAATACTTAATACGTGTGAACCCCATGACGCCGGTTTCTGTGGCCCAGCGCGAGCGTGACAATCCGCTGTAACTAGGTGTAATTAACAGCAGGATACATCAGCCAGAAGGTCCCTATTGTTTGTTGCGGCGATAGGATTATAGCTTGAAGAGGCTAAACCCATGCTAAGGCGTGCCACGCGAAGCGAACTGTCCTTTTGTTCACTAGTTTGGCACGCGCAGCTGGTTTTTAG